GAAAAAAAAGAAAAATAAATATTTAATATGTTTCACACAAAAAATTTAACTACTACGATTTGAATAATTTAATCTTAATTTAAACATCGGTCAAACAAACAAAAAAATACTTTGCGATATTTGTTTTTTTTTTTTTGGTGATAAAACAACTTACATAAATAAATGTTATATATGCATGAAACATAACTGAGATTATGTATTTATATAATATCTTGTTTTTTTCGTAAAACTTGTTTGAGATTATCGTAATAAAGAAAAAAAAAAAAAACCATTCAGGGATAAAAAATATAAGGAAATAATTCTTTGAAAAATAAATTAACGTCATCGTAGCAAAAAAAATAAAAAAAATCTGAACAAAAAAATTGGAAAACTTTTAATTAAAATATTTGTTTTCGTAATACAACGTTTAATTAAGTATAAAAATTAGTAAAAAAAAAAAAAAACCAACAACAAAAATAAAAATCATTGAAATATTTTATTGGTACTACAACGTTTACTTAATTATTAAAAAAAAATAATAATCAACAATAATAATAATAAACAATTATGAGAAATAAATAATTAAATGTAATGGTACAAAGTACATACGAGTAAAACGAGGTTAATTTAATATAAGAAAAAATAAATAAATAAATAAACAACAATAACAATAATAAAAATAATTGAAATATTTTTTTCCTAATATAACGTTTACTTAAGTATGAAAAAAAAAAATAACAATAATCAACAATAATAATAATAAACAATTATGAGAAATAAATAAATAAATGTAATGGTACAAAGTACATACGAGTAAAACGATAAAACTACGAAATAATGTTCGTGAAATAAAGTAAAATAAAATAAATAAAAATAAAAACGTAAAGTAACAAAAGAAAAAAAAAACAGATTAAACAAAATAAAAATAAAAATAAAAATAAAAAAAATGAAAAGAAAAGAAAAGAAAAGGCGAGAATTCGCGTTAAGTCGTCGTGAAGAGCGTGTATTTTATTGCAAATTGAGGTTAAAATCTCTGGCACGTGGCCAGGCATTTCACCTAGGCCGTCGCATTCCAACATATACATCCATACACACACAAACATACACATATACACATAATATATAAATACGTACATAAGTGTAAAAGTACATAGAACACGCACGTGTCTCTTATATGCTTTCTCTCTCACTCTCGCACACACATATTCAGTCACTCACTATCACTCACAGTTGAAGAACAAAAATTTAGAGAAGGGCTTGAAGAAATTTTCAAAGGGGTAGAATGGGGCTGAAGAATTGCAACAACTATACATATATACAATAACATGTATGTATATATATATATATATATATATATATATA